TACATTTCAAACTTTACTAAAACATAAAAAAAGGATTTAGAGTTATACCCTTTGAAAAAATGCTTGTCTAGACTCCTCCTAGACCCTTTGGTCTCCTTCTTCTTCTTCTATGGTTTGTAGTGGCTCAAGATTGGGGGAGTAGGAGAAAATATTTGAGAAAGAGTGGAGGAGTATGGTATGGCCGGATTTTGAGGGGGAGAGAAAAGCTAGGGAAAAAAATGAGGCTTATCCTATGGTGGTTCCTTTTATAGGCCACTTGGAAACTATTTTTTTAACACCACATCAACTCTCTCAATCAACCAAATTTTGGTTCAATTTTCCCCAATCTTGGCCGGTTATGGAAGGAGAAAAGGAGAAGCCAAAATTGCCATTAATTCCCCTTCAACCACTACCATCCCATCACCTTAACTTGTAGCCTTCTAACACACTCAACATATAACCAAAATTTTTGGATATAACTTCCTAAGGATGGCCGGCCAAGTGAAGAGAAAAAGGAGAAAAAAAAACTAATCATTAGTCCTATTCACCTCTCTCATCACATCTCATCAAATCACACACACTAACCTACACCTTGTACTTTTGTCCATTCCCTTAACTTACTCATTAAAACTGTCCAAACTCATACTGACAGTTATTTTCTCCTGTATACGGGTTCTGGATGCTAGGTTGTACTGTGCTGGGAGATTCTTAAAATTAAGATTCTCTAACTGTATCTATACTGGAAATTCTTCCGTTTTAAAGTACAGTGAGAATTTATCGATCGAATTTACTTGATCGGAAAAATGTGAACTTAACGTGAAATCTGCTACAGAATTTAGGAATGCAGATGTTAATTCCCTAAATCCTTCAATCACAAAATGTACATAGTATAATGATTTTCCCGGAAAATCCTTGACTTGAATACATGAATTATATTATTAAAATTATGGGATTTTTTTCTTGGTCACTACACTTTCTTTCTCACAACGAAAATTAGTGTGCCATAATTACCTGGGGTAACACTGATGGCTGAAATAGAAGGTCCATAAGTACCTTGTGTAGGTATGCAACAAGTTCCTTTTCCGGCCCAAAAGAGATGGATTTCTAGGTAATTTTCTGATACACGAACCTCAAAATTCCTACTCGCATATCGAGGAAAGATTCCACCTGCTTCCCTTCGTATGTCGAAATCCTTCTTAACAAGTTTCCCCTGCAATATGCTTACAGGTTTTGAGCCAAGGAGGGATAGTACTAGATTACATTTGTATCACACTGATCAACAATACTGCAAAGTACTAGAAATAAATCATATGAGCATCGGGCTGAAGAAAGCTTGAAATGATTGATTGGGTAGAAGCTAAATGCACCATATATCCCATGTCAAAAAGAATTCTTTCAGAAAAGAAGAAATGAAGAAGCGAAAGCTCGCTCGATAAACTATTACAGTTAGGAAGCTCTATAAAGGAAACAGCTTATGAAAAAAATCCAAAGATCATACAATACAGACCTGGATGTAAATATGAAATACACGCCTTCCATTTTTTTTCCATGTAGCAGAATCTAGGAAAGCTGATTCTGAAAATTCGAGGGCTACGCTGTAGTTACCATTCACAAGTCCCAGACCATAATATCTTAATGATGAAGCAGAAAGTCTAGCTGACTGGAAAAGTGCTAATTCTGAATTATACTGAGGATTGTTGTTTCCAGTGAAGAATCCAACATTACTAACGGCCCATCTCTGAGTTTTGCTAACATAATATGTAGATGCACCAAGATCTGCTTCGTCCCCATCGTACAAAGTCCCATTGGAAAACTTAATTTCAGGACCACCACATTTAATCCCAAAATTATAATCTGCATGGCGTACATCGACTTGAAATGATGAAAACAGCCATTACAGATGTGTGCTAAGAAAAATGGTTTTCTTTCACTACAAGAAAAGTAGACATTTAATGACAAGTTTTTATTCACTTTTTTTATTGGTGATTAAACATGATATTTGATACAGGCATTTAATGACAAGTTTTTATTCACTATTTTTATTAGTGATTAAACATCATATTTGATACAGATTCTTCTTGTCGTATAAACTCATGTTGGATATTGGTTAAAGATCTCCTTGATTATAGGCTTGACAATTTTTCCTCAATTATAGGTGACTAATTGACGGCCTGTATTTATATATGTATTTAAGAAATCACCCCTATTTAAATCCATGTGGGAACACACTGTAATTTTATCAGTGAATGAAAGCGTAAAATTCATAGACGTAGGCGAATTGCCGAACGTAAAAATTCTTGAAAAAATTTTTTTTTTTTTTTTTTTTTTTTTTTTTTTTTTTTTTTTTGTGTATTTCTTATTTTTCAAGTTGATAACAGAGCAGGCCCTTGCCTCGATTAAGGAAAAATTGTCAAGCCTATAATCAAGGAGATGTTTGACCAATATTTCAACAACTAATGGTTCTGGTCTCAGGACCATATAAAAGATAATGAAAAGTTTTAATTGTACTCACGGACACCATTGCCTCGATTGCAAGGAAAGTTCCGCTGAAGGCAATTCAACCCTGAAGGAAGACCGCTAAAACCATGAAAGGAATGCACCAGTCATACACTTAATTATTGAACAACATCCCTGGTGAAGTTACTACGCAGATTGATTCATAGTTCAACAAACTAAAGAGAAAATCTAGAATTCTTGAGAAAGTTAACAGCATAAAAATTTCTAATCCACACAAGTACTGATACTTAAGAAGTACTTGAAAAGAGAGGTTAGATAGAAAATAAAAGCAATGGCATTGAGGTGCAATAATTAATTAGCATTCAATGTTTAAAGGTTCAATCATGCAGATAATACCTGTTCTCTAAACTTTTTATTTCGAAGTAGTTATTGCCCACTAAATTGCTGCATATCATTCAAGAGAGAGAAAGAGAGAGCATCATTGTTAGTTTTTCTTCTCTTGTTGTGGAAAAACAATACCATGGTGGAATAAGAAAAGGCATATTCTACGTTTAGCAATTTGGACCAATAGGTTTAATTACATTGTGTTCCCCAAACCCAAGTTCTACAATTTTTAGCATTAATTGTGGTCCAATAGCTAATAGACGACAATTTTTAGCATCAATATTTCGTTGGTTGACAAGTTGGACTCGTAATTGCTCTATATGATATTATATCAGGACTTACAGTTGTAAATTGTTTTCATTGACCCAAGAAGGAAGGTCCCCATCTAAATTATTGTATGACAAATCTCTGCAAACCATAAAAGAGCATCAAGATTAAAACTTAATCCATCGAGTAGCAAACAATTACCACGATCGTCTATAAGCATGGCCAATTTACTTACACAGTAAGAAGAGAGGTGCTTTTTTGTCGAGGAAGAGTACCGCTTAAGTTATTGTCTCCAAGAAACCTGTTTACAGGAATAAATATAGACTCTCAAATGCATCAAGATTACAAGGTATGTAATGCAATAAAAAAAACGTGAAATATTACAGAATTGAGAGTGAGCTCATGTTGAAAAGAGATTCTGGAATCTGCCCATGAAGATTGTTGAAGCTCAAATCCCTGAAAAAAACATATTATATGCCTGGTTAGACTACTTTGAAACCTGAATCAACTTAATACAACCCCAGATCCACACGAAACTTACAGCTGTGCCAACTCTGTGTACTCGCCAATGTTAGATGGAATTGAATCAGAAATATTGCAATTTCTCAATACCCTGCAGGATATATTAATGAATTGCTACAAGCCTACAATAGTCTATCATAAGAACTACAGATGAAAATGTTGGTATCGGTAGGAATATTATGATTTTTTTAATGTTTCTATAGAAATATATCTCTCTTTCTCTGTGTTGTATATCTCGACTATAGTAGTGGCAACAGCAACAATAATATAATAAGCAGGAACCATGTTGCTTACAAGACATTTAGAGACTTCATATTCTGAATAAATGAAAGCGAAGAAGCCGCGTTAGATAGTTCACCCAGGCGCCTACAAGTGTACATCACATACAGAGAATATCAGCTCTGAATTAATGTAAATAAACGGATAAAAATACTAATAAAAAGTAGCTACTCACAACTCTGTCATAGATGTCAGACTCGAAAATGTCGACGGTATAGGACCGTCAAAAGAGTTTCCGTACAGCCTTCTACAGAAACATTTCCAAATAGTTAGTCACCACATACCTCTACCTGATTATGCTCTATTTTTATCTGAAACTATTGAAGCATACAGATTGTCTTACAAGGTATTAAGATTTGACCAATTTCCAATGAATTCAGGTATTCTGCCCGTAAGTTCAATATCTGATGCCCACCTGCAACAAGTGAAATGATTGCCATAGAAAACAATAGTTATATATATATATATATATGTGTGTGTGTGTGTGGGGGGTTTTAATAGTTACTCGATACTTACTCATTAAAGGGTATTCTTATTTTAGCCGTAAGATATTGATCAAACGGTTGTAATAAATTAGATAGTTGACTAAAACAATTAATGATAATTAATGAAACTGGATTTTTATCTCACTACGTAATCAAATTTTCATATTTAATAGTAACCACAGATGTAAACATAACCATTGAAAACAAAGCTATATATTCATATATATATATATATATATATTAAGATATTAATTAATTTCTGTAGAACAAATGACGAAGGTTTTACAGTGTCTCGAGGCTTTGAAGATTTGCAAATGTTAAAGGAATCTCTCCACTAACTCCAGAGCTATCAATGTAACTGTGAAATAAACACGGCATATTTCAGTTACAATTAAAAATGTTTTTGATAAACTTAAATCAGAAAAAAAAAAAGAAAGAGGGAATGAAAAAGAGATTGACAAAATTACAGTTGTTGTAGTTTTGACAAGCTCCCCAGCTCAGATGGAAGAGGACCAGAGAAGTTGTTTGAACTAAAAGCCCTACAAAAAAAGAGGAAAAAAAAGTGACATAATTCAATTCATTGTGTATAATTTTTTTAACTGCAAAATGGAAATTTTAAAACACATAAAATGATTGCTATTGAGATTTGAGAATGCCAATTACTCACAAAGCTATTAGATCAGTAAGTTGTCCTAGTTCCTTTGGTACCTCCCCTGATAACGCATTTATTGCAAGACTCCTGATAGTAACCAAACAAAGAACACCAAAAATGAAAAAAAATAAATAAATAAAAATGTTTATTTGTAACATAAATATGTCCATTTTCTTGTTAGATTCAAGCTGGAATTTTAGTATACTTACAAGTATTGCATGCTGGTGAGATTGCCAATGGTTGGAGAAACAGAACCTGTCAAGTAATTTTAGCCCAAATTGCTGTAACAAAAGGAATATGAGCCTAATTTTAGTGGAATTTTTTTCCATGTGACAAACAATAGTTTGATGTTATAAACAGAAAATGAAGTTGGCGTTGATTTTGTAAAGAGAGAGGAGCAATGAAAATGGCCAGAGAAGCCATACAGATTGAAGAGGAAGGTCAGATTCCATAGCTCTTCTGGGATTGGCCCAGCAACATCCATTGCGTATACTTTCCTGCAACCAAATTTTGGCGACAAATTTAGCACAAAAATAAAAGTATTTGACGTTAACTACATAGTGAATGGACGTTTCATATTTTAGAGGAACAAACGTTATGTTTTAAAAATCCAGAGGCAAAGTGTTATCAAAATCATAATTCGAGAAAAAATTTCATAAGTAATCTTTTCAATTATTATCTAGAGCTTATCTAAAAATGAAAAATACAAGACACGTAAGAGATGTTACATAAGACAATACTGCGTATCTTGATTTATCTTTCAAATTTTTACGTACTGAGTAATGTATCAAATAAGTAGTCAATTTTTAATTCATAATAAATATTTTTACAAAGAGATTTACTAATCAGAAAATGATGATTCACTTATCACTTTTGGCTGCAAAGTATGTTTTTTCCCCAATTTTAGTCTCTGGATTAATGGTACAAATTACAGCCTAAACTATGTTCCTTGTGCCATTTTGGCCTTTTGTCATGAAATCGTTAAAAACTCAATGGAATTAACCGTGTGAACCTCACATTACTGGTTAATGAAGGGTATTTTAGACTCATGAAGCAATTAAGATGAACTAAACTAAATTTAACCCTCACATACTTTGTTAGCAACAAGCTAATGAGGAGAGAATAAAGTTTTAAAATATCTCTTATCTCTTATTAACTAAGTGAATGTCATGTAGTTGATTTTCTCGAGTTGTCAAAATTTTTGCGACATAAAGGTCAAATGTGAAACAAAAAACGTAGTCTAGGTTGCAATTGGTAACATAATAAAGGATCAAAATTGAATACAAAATATAGTATAGGGGCCAAAATTGACATTAACCCAAAAAATTAGTGTCGTTGAGATCCCTATCAATATCATCTTATCAATTGGCAAATGTAATAAATATCTCCTCATAATATTATACAATCAAACATACATGTACACGTATGTGTACGTATACAACACGTATAAATAGGACTTACAACTGGGTGATGTGGCAAAGAGAATTATTGTTGAAAGAACAATCGCATTTGATAAAGGGATTGTATGCAATATCATCGAAGCTGGTGGAGTCTGTGGCGGCGCCACTGCACGGATCTCCAGTTGTATTCCATTGTTGAGTGTCGGCCTTTATGTTCCAATGGTCAAATATTGAATTCAAAGCTCTCGCTGCAACCAAATTGTACATTTACACACACATGTATCAAAATAATTCAAAAGGTTATTCATATAAGGACAAAAAGTTATTCAAATAATGGAATCCCTGTCGGCTGTGGAATTTTTATGCCTCAATTTATATATATATATATACACACACACACACACACATATGTTATATTATGGTTCTTCAGAAGTTGACTAATATGTCGACTCATGTGTCTAAAAGCAAAGGATAAGAAAACATATTCATGACGACCGCCATTGCTATATCCCACCAAATATTGCCATGTTGTACACAAATTCAATGAACTTAATTTAATTGCTGCAAAATTGCTACTTAAGAAAAGATGACTTTTTTTTTTTCTCCGCCAAATAAGGTTGTTCTTTCTGCTAGGTATAAACCCACTTCTGAAATAAATAAAAAAAAATGAAAACTATAAGCCCAGTTCTCTTTTTTGCTTGAAAAGTATAAACCAAATTATATGAACGCGTACTAGTTATCTCCTATGGGACTAATTATTAAGATGAAAAATTGCAACATATGTAAATTAGTTTGTTGATTAAACTTTGCAAAGATAACACTGAGAGGAAAAAGATGGAGAGAGAGAGAGAGAGAGAGAGGAAGAGAGGAAGTGAGAGAGAGAGAGAGAGAGAGAGAGAGAAGACCTTCAGAGGGATCTGTGGTGGCTTGAGTTTCATTCTGAGCTCTTGTTAAAGAAGCTGTGAGAACAAGGATGAAGGTAACACAGAAAGTGAAGACATGAAAATTAGCTGATGATGAAAGTGAAACTCCTAACATGAATTAATTTGCAGGTCCTTGACTCTTTCTTTGCCACAGCTTAATGTGAAGAATATAGCAAACTCAAGAGGAAAGTGAAAGTGATCAGATCATCATATAGAGGGAGAATTTAGATTTAAATATTCAGAGAGCCACCACAAGTGTGTGTGTATATATATATATATACACATATATATATATATATGAAATAATGTGACTAAATCCAAAGCGCATTAAATTTATTGTGGACCAAAATTCAAAAGGCCAACCGAGTTGAAAGATGTTGCATAATATAAAATAATAGAATGGGTCAATCTACACAATGTCATTTGATTGTGATATGATTTGAAAGGGCTTTTTTTTTTTTTTTTTTTTTTACCTATATTGATTGTGAAAGGGCTCATCTAGTGTTGGAACTTTAGACGAGCCGCCCGCGTCTGCCCGAAAATATCGAGTTTTTGCTCGAGCCCCAGCCCGACCCACCCGAAAAATTCAGGCCGCCTGTCCGAGCCCAAAAATTACCTTGAACGGGCCGCGGACTTGTATTAGGCCGCCCGAGCCCGCCCGAATAACCCGAATTTTTTTAAAATTTTATTTTAATATTAAGTTATTTTATGTTAAAATTTTGATATATATATATATATTACAATTTGAAATTTAAAATGAACACACGAACTATATAAAAAAATATTTCTTTATTAATTTTTAAATTTGTAATTCATGATTGCCTCGTTAAAAACCTTACCAAGAAAAACCCAATTGGGATAAAAACTTAGCAAGAAAAAAAGAGTGCAATCATTTTGTGACGAATTATAAATTTTACAAACTTACAAAGTTATACAATTACAAATATAATGTCAAAAGTAAATACATATTTACAAATTACAAATTTACAATTTAATTTGAAGCTGAAGGATTGTCTTCAAAATTAAATGTTAATCGAATAAATTCATCGATCCATTCTTGGCTTGCTGGCAAAATTGTATCATGTAGGCGTTAATCGGCCTGATCCCAATTCTTAATGCAAACCAAGGCTTCAATAATATCCATTTGCAATGCATTCCGGCGTTCCTCAAGTATTCTTCCTGTGACGACCCTGCTAAGTTGGCCATCACTGAAACTAACTTTTAACTTGTAACTTCTGAAACTTCAAATCTGAGAGATTTTTTTTTGAAATGTTACCTAGAATACTGCAGCATTTTTTTAAATGCTGTAAGAAATGTTGTAGCATTCTTTTTAAAATGCTATAGGAAATGCTATAGCATTCTTTTCAAAATGCTATAGGAATGTTGTAGCATTTTTTTTAACTTACTATAACAACATAAATTCTGGCAGTTTACACAAGCTTAGCGTTATACCACAAACTTCTAAAAATACAAGTTTATAGACATACTTATCAAAATCTTTTAAAACCTTAACTACTGCGGAAAATGATTGTGCGCGGTATCCCATCCCCAACCTTCACTCCGTTCGTCCGTTGCCTCGCCCTCAGTCCATCTTAGGTTTTGTGCATGTTGCTTACCTATAGTATAAATATTCTGTGATGAGCTTTTGCTCAGCAAGTAGGAACTATCTCTCGCAAAATAACTGTAAGTTCACATGAATAAATATGCATGAGTCAATTATACTCAATTATGATCATGTCTTATTAAATTCTTATTATCTGCTCTTATCTTACTTACTTATGGGCTCGAGTAATCGTACCACTTGCGCGCAATCATCGGGACGTGAGGGTTTGCAAGGTCCCCAACAACATCATGATTATAACTGAACTGAATGCTTCCCTCTCAGAGGACATTATTATATTTTTTTTCTTCTCCCTTGCGAAGCCTGAGTTACCTCCTTCTCAGAGGCTGGTACGGTACTCAACTGAAATTATTCTTATAAGTTTATCTTGACTTATTAAGGCATATGCAGTATGACATGGCATCACATACAATACATAAAGCATAAACATGCATATATAACATGTGTAACTTTTCTTTAAAATCTATTCATACTGTAGGCGAGATTCCTACTTACCTGATTTACAGGGCCGGAATTCATTTTTTGCCAAACAGCCTAGTCTCTTACTTGCTTACTTCTGAAAATGAACACCCACTGAGTGTGTGAGATTAACTGTCGTTTGCTATTCTATTTTAGCAACTTATGAAGGAAAATCTAACCCTTTCCTTAAGGCATGTGTTCCTCTGCTTTACTAAAGGATAATAAGAATCAATTTATTAAATCCTCAAAATCTTATTTTCCTTAATTGCCCTTAACATCTACTTGCCTAGATTGAAAATTAATTACCCAATCTAGTAATTTATTCTCCATAATTTTCCTCATTAGCATTGTTATGATATTAAGGCCCAATTTGTCCTAGAAACTTATACACGACATTCAAACTCTTAGACCACTGAAATTTATACTCTAACGGACTCTCTTAAATTAATGCGGGTATTAGACCCACATCTAATCTTCAAAATTCTAAGGACCTATTGTATTGGGCTCGTAGGTGCCCGTTGGGATGATTTGCTCGATAAACCATTAAGTTCTTTAAAAGAAAGCATTTTTCTTGAAAACTTTCTTTATGAATACTTCCATTAAAATGAGATTTGACACCATAGTATTTTACTGAAATCACATCTCGGGTTCTTTAATAACTTTTTGTTAAAAACCAACACTGTGTTAGTTTTATTTTGTTAAAACTATGTAGTTTCTGAAATCTATATTTTACTACATCTTAGAGTTGGATTTCAAAATTCTGTTCTTGGCAAAAATTCTTCATCTCATCGAGATCTAAAATTTTTATTTTTAGTAAAAGTTGAAATTCAGCCTCTAAAGGCCTCGTTCGGCTGAAAACATAGGCGCCTATTTTTTTT